ATAATAATAATAATAATAATAATAATAATAATAATAATAATAATAATAATAATAATAATAATAATAATAATAATAATAATAATAATAATAATAATAATAATAATAATAATAATAATAATAATAATAATAATAATAATAATAATAATAATAATAATAATAATAATAATAATAATAATAATAATAATAATAATAATAATAATAATAATAATAATAATAATAATAATAATAATAATAATAATAATAATAATAATAATAATAATAATAATAATAATAATAATAATAATAATAATAATAATAATAATAATAATAATAATAATAATAATAATAATAATAATAATAATAATAATAATAATAATAATAATAATAATAATAATAATAATAATAATAATAATAATAATAATAATAATAATAATAATAATAATAATAATAATAATAATAATAATAATAATAATAATAATAATAATAATAATAATAATAATAATAATAATAATAATAATAATAATAATAATAATAATAATAATAATAATAATAATAATAATAATAATAATAATAATAATAATAATAATAATAATAATAATAATAATAATAATAATAATAATAATAATAATAATAATAATAATAATAATAATAATAATAATAATAATAATAATAATAATAATAATAATAATAATAATAATAATAATAATAATAATAATAATAATAATAATAATAATAATAATAATAATAATAATAATAATAATAATAATAATAATAATAATAATAATAATAATAATAATAATAATAATAATAATAATAATAATAATAATAATAATAATAATAATAATAATAATAATAATAATAATAATAATAATAATAATAATAATAATAATAATAATAATAATAATAATAATAATAATAATAATAATAATAATAATAATAATAATAATAATAATAATAATAATAATAATAATAATAATAATAATAATAATAATAATAATAATAATAATAATAATAATAATAATAATAATAATAATAATAATAATAATAATAATAATAATAATAATAATAATAATAATAATAATAATAATAATAATAATAATAATAATAATAATAATAATAATAATAATAATAATAATAATAATAATAATAATAATAATAATAATAATAATAATAATAATAATAATAATAATAATAATAATAATAATAATAATAATAATAATAATAATAATAATAATAATAATAATAATAATAATAATAATAATAATAATAATAATAATAATAATAATAATAATAATAATAATAATAATAATAATAATAATAATAATAATAATAATAATAATAGATAGATAGATAGATAGATAGATAGATATGTTTATTGACTTATTTACAAAACATTTGTATTATACGTCACAATAATGGTACATAGTAGGTAAAGATAGATAAAAATATAATAAAACACTTTAAAAAGAAATACAATAAGATAAAATAAGATAAAATGAAATAAATTTAAATCAAATATTATTTTGTATATGTTAAAAAGTCTTGTATAGAGTAGAAACAATGCTCGAGAAGGAACTCTTTAGCTGTTTCACGGAATTTGTTAACATTCATAGTTTTAACAGAGACATTTCTATGATAGTTGACAAAGTTGTTATATAAATTATAGTCAGCTTTATTATTTTGCGTGATGTTAATTCGTGAAAAAGAGTATACAAGATTCTCCCTATGCCTCGTGCCATAATTGTGAATACCCATGTGTGCAGGGATATGGTTTCTATTTTTGTGTATCCATATTAGTGATTCAAAAATATATACACAAGGTACAGGAAGAATCCTGTAATTTTTAAATAATGGCTGACAATGGGTTCCATATGGAGCACCTCCAATTATTCTCACTGCAGCTTTTTGACAGCTAAATAATTTCTGCAGAGCACTTGTCCTACCCCATAGCGTAATTCCATATGATAAGTGGCTGTGGACTAAAGCAAAATATACACATCTTAATGCATTAATGTCTAGAATGAAACTCAATTGTCTTATAACGAAAATCTGTGAGGCCAATTTCCTACTGAGAGTGTCAGCATGTGCTACCCAATTTAAACTTGTGTCAAGTGTAACACCCAATAATTTAACTGGCTCAGATTTTATTTCATGTTTATCTGCGCTAAATAATATTCGTGTAGTTTTGCTTTCATTCAGCTTTAATTTGTTGGCAGTAAACCATCTTTTAGCTGTATCTAGATGATTATCACTTATAGCGGTGTTTCTCCTAGAAAGAAGGGTTGTGTCATCAGCGTACAGAATGCAGGTACAAGCGTCGAGTGTTGTAGGTAAATCATTAATGTAAATCAGAAAAAGAATAGGTCCTAGGACAGATCCTTGTGGGACACCACTTTTAATGGGTAAAATATCTGATTCGATGCTATCATGACTTACATACTGCACTCTTTCGGTCAGGTAAGATTTTAATAATTCGTAGCTATTGCCTCTTATTCCATAATATTCCAATTTGATCAGTAAC